CATTAAAATCAGCCCTCGAGAGAAAGATAAACACCCTGTATATCCCACATCATCTCCTAACACATACTCATCCTACACAAAATGCTCCGCAACTTACCATTAACAAAAACATCTTGTTGTTGAAATGTTTCTAATTATTCAGTCCTTCAACATTATAGAATTGGTGAAATTTTAGGAAAACCCTTATTAACAAGCACGAGCTAAAGTATTTAAAGCCAACAAAGCTTTCAGATATTGTCTTGACTAAAATTTTCTTCATAATAGTTCATGTATTGATTCATCATCGATTATCATGGATTATAGGCCTTCTGTACCAGATCTACTCAAGTTGATGGTCCACTTGGTGTGCTCTGGCCCAGACCTTGTCTGCGGGCAGGATGCAATCCCTGCTTGTCAATTCCATCTGACGGGTGGGGAGTGGATGCACTTGGGATGATTGTTCTTGTCTAGTGAAAGGTGAGTGGCACCCAGACTATTGCAATGGGTCACCATGGTTAGAATTTTTGCATTCAAGCAGCTCTGGCTCATGTGTGTTACAAAATAGTAAGCTGTATTTAAGCTATTTTATGAGTTTTTTCAACAGATGAATGAAATAGAAGAGTTCAATATAATCATTTTTATTTTACATAAACATCACTATGGGAGTCCGTGCAATTGTGTAGCATAATTTTACAGTATGGTGTGATCATATAAAAACCATTTTAGGGCACAATCATAAATAAAATTCATTCATTCATTTTCATTAATTTATCCAATGACAAATTCATCAGTATCCGTTGGATAAGAAAAAGTACCGAGTGAATAATACATGGTAGTCTCCAATCCAGCTAGCATTAAATAAAATAGGTCATTCCTCTTGTCAGCTTTAACAATTTTTACTACATTATTTATTGTAATTTCCACTTGCGAATCCTTTTCCATCTTGAGATTTCTTCTAGGAATCAGTTATTTTCTTCACATTTACAAGTAGTTTCTTGCATTCCAAATCAAAAGCAACATAGCTCATAATTTTGCTTCTCCACTATAAACATTTGTTAATTATATTGTTTTTATAAAGTCGACAAAAAGAATTCAACTCTACTCTATGAGACAATATTACCAAATTTCATTTACAACTAATATGTCAAGTTTAACTTTTATCTGCTGGTACTTCCAAGAACAATCAGGCCGGGACAAGTGCAATTTGAATATATTACCACAAAGTTGCGCAAATCCAAGCCTGACAGTAACTTGAACAATGAAAACATGTTTTTAAGAGAGATAACATCTGCATGTACAAATGTACAAAAGTGCAAACGTAATCAAATCATATTCTATTAACAATAAGTGATTAACAAAGTACACTACATTAAACATCAAAACCCCAGCTTTTATGCTCTTCACCAATTTGACAGTACTATTACATCTTCAGAAACAGAACTGTGACAATAATTCCTACAACTGCTCTCATGCAATGAGACTTGTACGAAACCAAACCAGTTAGGAATTTTACTTATACCAATCAGCCACACAAAGAAAATAAATTAACCCTTCAGTGACTTGTTTTCCGATTTCTAAACTCTAACATCATATTGAAAATATTACAAACTCTATATAATCAATGGAAGTTTTCTTAAGCTATCATTTTTCTACATGTAAGATGTTGGTTATTTTAGTAACAGGACTGTTGTGGTGTGCTTGTTTTTATTTCGAAGTGTGTCTATAACCCAATCACAAGCAAGTATTGTAGTCAATAATGCTCAATGGTACTTTTTATTTAGAATTCAACAACTGTTGTGAGCGGGGATAAATAATCCAGTTTTCATGAGCAAACCTGTGCATATAATACTACAACAAATTTTAAAAAACTCAATGACATTTCAATAAAACAAATATCTCAAATACATATCACCAAAACATTGTGACATAAATACATAAAGAACAATTATTTTTACAGTAGTGTGCTCTTGAACAATGCTAAATGAACAACCATTGCAAATAATGTTTTGTCTTTTCAAAAAAAACTGTATATGATGACAGGCATTCAATAAGATATGAACATTTATGAATATAGAAGAAACAATCTAACATGATAGGTTAGAAAAACATTTCAACGATAAAAAAAGGCATTTCGTGAAATTTAAACTAGTGTCACTGATCAAAAACACAAATATTTAAATGGAGAAAGCCTTTGCATACCTCCCCAGAAACCTGTTTAATTACAAACCTCATACAATGAACTGTCTTCTTAATTACACATCCAATTATTGTTCGAAGGATATGTAAACGCCGGCTTTCAAATATTTCATCTTCATCCTCAGTCTCATTCTCATGTTGCTCTCCGCTTTCCACTTCTGGATCGCTCGCGCCCTTTGCAGTTTTACACTCCATCATCGAAACACATCACAAAGGAAAGAGCACTGAGAAGGCACGAACTAACAACAACGAAGGAAAGAAAAATGAACTGAAACTGGCAAGTGCTAAAAATGCAGAACCAATTCGATTATTCACTCACATTTCCGCGTCCGCGAGTCTACGTCATGACAGACTCATTGCCGCTCATAGTCCCAGAGCTTTTCAACTCCCATATAAACTAGTATAAAGTAGTAGCGGCACTTATAGTGGCGCGCCCACTTGCAGAAACCAAAAAACAGTCAGCTGCCAACGTTATTAAATTGGTACGGGTGGGATGCATGTAGGTGTGCTCGGTATAAAACATCGCGCTTAAGTGAGGCTTTTACATCCATTGTTCCGATTGTCCTTCATGTTCCTCATTACTATTATTATAAATACTTCATTATTCACATATCTCCTATTTTCCGCAAATGTTCCGAATTTGTATAGTGCACTGTTGGCAAACACTACGCAAAGCCGCACCGGGAGACACTAGCGGCTTCTTCCTGGCACCAATCCTTGCCACCCATCCTTAGTTTTGCCCACATCTCCAAGGGAGAGTTCTGTTAATATGTTATTTATAGAGATAAGTAAAGTTACAGACAATGAGCTGTTTATCCTACAATCCAAAGTGTTCTAGGAACATAGAAAAAGGCGGCAATTCAAAGACAGCTTCTCATTTGTCCTCTTCCTCAGCCCCGCCATTTCCAACAACATCACGGAGACCAATGCTGGCCAACTGTAAAAAAGACGGGGGAATTTCAAATTTCACTCAGTTAAAAAGCAAAAATAGATACTTATTGTGAAGTGAATTCTTACTAGAATGTTATTTTCTCTTTAAAATACGATTCGTGGAATTTATACCAACATTGTTTAACTATACGTACAAAATGCCCCAATCGGGGCAGTGTATCTCAAAACGTTAATCGCTTTTCCTATCCAATTTTTCTTACCCTATTGGTCAATCATAAACTGTGATTCATCCATCTTAGGAGGCGGTCAATGTACAATAAACCGCGTATACACTATAATATAACCACATAGATAACCTCTTTGATTTTAAGTTAGCTTTCAGTTATATTCAATATTTGGCGTATTTTGGAATTATTGGACACAATTTCATTCGTGGATTGGTCCAATTAAATACCACCGATGCTTTGGAAATTTTCAGATAAATTCGGGATTTATCGACAATTTCCAAAGCTCTCATGGGATTATCTATGTTAAATTAAAAATAAAAAGTGTTTACCTTCGAGTTACATCACCAGGTACCCATACCCTCCTTTTCCAACTGTGATAACGTAATATTCTTTTTATTTTCTTGCCAGTGGCGTTAGTTCAATTTGAGGAGACCCTTGGACCGACAAAATACCGGGGGGGAGGGCTTATTTAAAAACATGTCATTAAGATATATTATAAACTTAATGTTAGGAGGGAAAATATTACTAAAAATTATTACAGAAAATACATTATAACTTTTTTTAAATTCATGATATAATTTACAATGTAAATTTTGGTATTTTCTTCGCTATTTATCAATGATGGTAGAAATATTATTTTTCAACTACATTGTTTTTTCGTGTTCTATTTATAAAATACTTAAGTTATACTGATGATCTTGAGCCATTCTACCTCCTAAATAATTTCAGCTTTAATTTTGAAAACGTTCTTTCGGCGTTATCGCTGTCAGGAACTGTCAAAAATAATAAGAATACAATAGACACATCAAAAAACTTGTTAATAATAAGCAATTTAAATTATTAAAAAGTATGCATTTATTTTAGGAATTTGTATTAATTATAATCATCAAGAGAAGTATAACCTTCATTAAACTTTAATATGGTTTAAAAAACAACAACAAAATGTTCATAAACCGTCCCGAAAATGTTCACACTCTCTCACGGAGTGAAGGATCTTTCAACATTAAGTTAATCAGAATTTAATATAATTTAACAATGAAGTTTTAAAATTCATTAATTGTATTAAATTTATGGTTATTTTAAAAATATAAATATTGCAATTTTTATCAGATTGTTTAAAATGTTTGCAGTTTTCCTGTGTTAATTTGAAAAGAAAAATGCAGATAGTAACGCCATCTATGTACGTTTCTTAGAACGTTTTGAACTAAGAACTGGGTTCATGATGGGTTCATGATGTTGGGTTCATGATGGTTATTTATTATTACGCTGAAAAACGCACATGTGTACAATCATTTTACAGAGAGTAAGACAATAAAAGAAAATAAATATCACAGATATCACAGTTAAAGACCGTCACTAAGTCACACAGTTACTCTTCATCTCTGGTTGATTGATAGTCTTCTTTCTTTATACTGCTGGATGTGGTATCGATTCGCAGACGCTTCCACACGAATTCGCACACGCAGGTTTTCATTTTGCACAGCAGATGGTGAAAACCATGCACTGCGGACCTCGTGACGACGTGACGCATCTCGTAGCCTGCCGACATCGAGCTTCTTTTACACATTTCCTCGGTAGTGTAGGACTCTGGCCATATTTCCTCTCTTTTCCTGTTCATGCTTTGTAAGAGTGATTCTGCTGCCTTGGCATTTGGTAGGAGGAATTACAGCCTGAGTTCCTCCATCTGGTATGCTTCTTGGGAAAGTACACATTCCAGCCTCGATCTTGTTATTTTAGGTATGCCCAATGCTCGTTTTAGGAACGTGGCTTTCACTTTTTCCAGGTCGTATTGATTTCTTATTGTGAGTTTTTCACATATATCAATACGGTAAGTAATGACTGGTAAGACTTTTACTTGAAAAAGCATCATAGCCGTATTAATATCCAAGAGCCTAATAAATTTGATTTCATTGATGGCGATCATTGCTAGAGAAGTTTTCTCAGCAATGTGTTTGGCAAATCTTCTACAACTTGTTTGTAGTGTCATCCCTAAGTAATTGAAATGAGCGACAACTTCTATATTATTACCATCAATTTTAAATATATTATGTGGGGCTTTCCCTCCCTTTCTGAAAATCATAGAATATTTCTTGGTGATAATCTCGAAGCATCGTTTTTTTCACCATTTTTCCATTTTCTTAATGGTTTCTTGTAAAGGTTCATTTTCTCTGAACATATTACGTCGTCGGCATATGCGTATACAGTTACTCCCTAGTTTCTTCCTATGTCGATCAGTTCTGTAGATGCGAGGATGAATAGTAGTGGACTTAATGAGTTACCTTGAAGCACTCCGTTTGCTAGGATAATTGTGTCTGATATAGTTAGACCGTCGTCTACGTGCATCACGTGTTATCTCAGAATGGAGATTTTAATTCTTATCTATACATTGTGTGCCGAGTATTGTTCTGAGTCTGTCTATAACCCATTGCCTGTTGGTGTAGTGGAAGGCTTTTACAAAATCGATAAAAATGGCATATAGTTTACTTTATTTTCTTCTTCGTGGCGTTCTCTATATCATTCATTAGTAGGCTTATTACTGTGGTGGTTGATCGGTTTTTGCGGAAGCGAAATTGTTCGTCTGATAAGTTGGCGTCTAGTTTTTTGGATATTCTCAATGTGATCATTTTGGAAAGTAGTTTGAATGGGTCACATTCTAGAACGATACCTCAATAATTGGTATTCTCGCCGTTACTCTTCCCTTTGTAGAGCACCTTGATGGTTGATTCTCTCCATTTTTTGGGAATGTCACCAATTGCTGCTCATTTGTTAAATATGACTCATCTCCAGTGTGGGAGGCAGGGTTGGGGAATATACAAAAACGTCTGCAGCTACTTGATAAATAAAGGAAAGCTAAACCCTTGTTTCAGCGATATCACGCGGTGAGAGAATGAACTTATATCGCCTTTTTTCGGCCAATATTGATAAAATTCGTTGAGTCCAGTTTAAGTCAGTTGGCTAGGCTCTGCTGAAGCAATCTTTTGGACGTGCTTCTATCGAAGACAATAAGATGGAAAAGAAGTAGTAACGGGATAGTATTGTAGTACTAGGCGACTAGAAACCCGACTCATTTCGTAGTTATATCTACGAGACTTTAAATCAGAGAATATAGTATATATGTATTCTCACAGACAATAATTTCATGATTTGATTGTCTCGTATTTTTGTAAACGGACCAAATTAAATAATGAAAGAAATATTCAGAGCATATGAATTTTTGTAGTTCATTGTGAATAATTAGCAAATAAGTTGAGTTATATTGATGGAACCGAAGGACTAAAAGCCGTAATGATAAGTACAGTTTTCAATAAACATAAATTAAATAATTTTGTAGAAAAAAATCGAATTAAATTTGTCATAAATTAGAGACATCGCTAATTGCAATAAATAATGTTATAATATAATTATTAATATCATATTAATTATTATTGTGAAGTGCGCGCACCGTTAAAAATAAATAAATAAATATACTATTGCTCCCCGCGGATACGCTTCGCTTTGCTCCAATTGGCTACTTTGATAGGTTCCTTATTGGTTCTTAAATTCGCCGCCTCATGCCACTGAAGCAAGAGGGGTTCACGCTTTTTTTTTTTTTCAAGTAGATGCGGAATATGTTGGTACATACCTCCACCACCGGAGTTGAGACGCCTTCCCCGTATATTTCGTGGCTTCAGACACACTAAGTAGTGCATTCTAACTCTTTGGGATTCCTCTCCGTGATTCAGAAATAACCACTAGTGCTTCTACCTGCAATAGGGAGTTTTATACCCTTGATAGTTAATGTAATCGACAGCACTATCGGTCTTCTGCGCATGCGGAGTTCAAGTTACACATCACTTTTGTGCATCTGCTCATATTGAGAAGATCGAGACTGCGGTCGATCGTTGCCTGTTAAGGCGTGAAAAAAACCTATTCTTTTTTAAAAAATATGTTGCGACTACCTTGACGCAGTGCCTCCCTAAACCCCATACACGGGCATTGAGGGCTTCCAATTGGAGTAATCCTCCGGTAACACGTTGCATTAATGGAGCAATCATCCGTTAACATATTTGTTTAAATGTGTCTGTCCAGTCTCTCCGCAGTTTTCAAGACGACCCCTAGGTACCATCTCCGCGTACGCGCCTCCTCCCACGCGATCCTGCGTCTCTAGTTAACGAAGGAAAACAGTTTCAAATCATTTTTGCATTTCAAATCTGAAATCGCACGCTCTATTGAAAATGAACAATACACAAGTAGGTGATGTTGCAAAATTTCTAGGTATCTCAATTCAATAAAATCACAAATGAAATGCACATAGAAGAGAGTTAAACACTAAATTAGGTTAATACTGTTACGATTAGGTATTCTTTCAAATTCTGTCAGCCTCCATGCAGCTCGTTGCGGGTATTTTGCACACGTACATTCCCACATGAGATATGGCATAATATTTGGGGGGAATCTCATCATGTAAACCAAGATCTTTAGATTGCAAAAGAGAGTTGTTCGAACAATGAAAAAATGCCATTCAAGTGATCCCTGGAAGCCTCCCTTCATTGAGCTTGGAATATTACCAATGCCGTGCCTCTTTATTTATGATTCTGTAATGTTTGTCAAAACTGACTAACGTAACTGTGGGATACTACTGGGATATTTCATGCACTACTGATATTTATAATTACAACACACGTCGTAGTAATCACAGTCATCAAGTGTCAGTATCAACGGCTCACTACAAGAAATACACATTCAATTCATGTAGTACGTTACTTTGCCACGAACGCGCGAAGCGCAGCGGAACAGGCAGACTTATGGCGGTAGAAGGGGAGCTAGAGACTGGGGGCAAGCCAAGAGCAGGACAATTAGGGCCCCTTCCCACGGCGCGGCGCGTAGCAGAGCATTGGTTTGAATGGAGGCCTTCCCACGGGCAGCGGGTGGCGGCTGCTGCGGCAGCCGATGCCGAACTCCAGCACCAACGAGAGGCCACGCCACGCTCTAGCAGAACACAGCTTTAAATGGGAGCGTTCCACTGCGCCGGACCAGCAGCGCTTCCTTACTGCTCCCGGACCCTTTGTTCGTCGTCGCCGGGGTTCGGCGAAACAGTACCCCCTCCAGACCCAACCACCTTCCACGGCGGCGCGCGGTGCGGCGGTGGCGGCGTCGGAAGAGCTCCTGCTCCTTGAAGATGCGCACTGCGGGCCGCGCCGTGGGAAGCCGGCCTAAGTATCGATCATGAGGAGACTATTAGAACGCGTACGGCTACCGGTAATCCGCTCAAGGAGGCAGAAACGCGACGCGGGAGAAGTGGTGGCGCGCTTCTCAACGATTTGCGTCAATCTAGAGGAAAGGCGAACCGCTGGCCGGTACTTACGCTTTCAACGAGGCAATAAATCGGTTACTGAATAGGAACAGCTACGACGCAGAAATGCAATCTCTCACCACGGGTAAATTAGCTATGCGCACGTGCAAGTGTTAAGGATGCTGTTCCGTAGGAAAGAGGACTCCATTTCCTCAGTCAAAGAGGTGACCGATGACCAGGCTGGTCCAGTGTAATGATTGACGTTGGCGAAATAGAGAGGAGGGAGTAGGCTTCACGGTGAGCGGGCGGTGGAAGAAAGAAGGAGAACGATCTGGTCAGAGGTCTGGAATAGACGCTCGCAGAGAGAAGCGACTTGTCTGATGTCGCGTAAAATCTCTCGCGGAGAACTTGGTTTTGGGAGGTCGAGAAAAGATGCTCGCAAGAATGTTGCGGATGATCGTATTTTCGGCGATTAATCCGACTACTGTTCGCCCCAACTCGCTGATGTACAGTGACACAGAGCGTCTGAGTACAGCTACAACAGTAGGTGATCTGGGCTGTCCGGGTGACGCCGCGTCGAAGGCTGAGTTGCCGACGTTTCGACCATCCTGTCGTGGTCTTCGTCAGGGCTGGTATGGTCGCATACCCCGGTGAAGTATTTCTCAAAAGGCAGTGATAGGGACTCATGTGCTCTACTTGATCGGCGTATGAATGACGCCGGCACGGCGCTGACAATATGAGGACGAGCGAAGGGAAGCAGAGGTCAACAGCCATATCCCTCAGCCAAGGGCGCCGAACCATTGTGTACCGATGAACGCGCGGATGCACACAGAGAGCGCGTTACTATAGGCTCCCCTCTCTTCAGCTGTCTGGCAGACAGCTCACAGGCACATGGCAACTTCGACAAGGAAGGAGACACCAATAATGGTATGTGAAAACAAAAAAACAATGATCTTAAGATAGTGCTAAAAAAGAGAGATTTTTAATCCATTAGTTGTAGTAAAAGTCATGTGTCAAAACTTGCTCATTGCTATTTTCGGCATTTTTGTAATCAAAACTTCATTAGAATAGTAATGGCCTATTTGTCAATCAGAATATCCGATTTAAATGGCGGAATAGCACAGCGCGTTGAGATACATAGGTTCGATTCCAAACGGCACGTACCAATTTATAATGCTGGCAATAACCACTCCGCCTTTCAAAACAAACGTAGCATTTCTCGTTGCAGGCTTTGGCGCAGTACTGATACTTCTGACTGGGGACCGTTCTTGGTACCTATTTGTTTCATTATTCTCTTGAATTTACTACTTCAAAATCCACATTTCACTCGACTGTTACCCGAAGGTTATCCCAAGATCTCCCCGTCATGATAAAATTGTATGTGTGTATGTGTCTGATAGACCGTATATACAGATATTCGGTAGCGAAATATTTACATGAAGTAGTTATTTTATTTCCTTTTTACGTAGGGTTGGGAACTCTCTTGTTGTTACTCAGAAATAACAATAACTACTTCAGTTACATTTGTACCAGTATTAATCTGAAGCATATACGTTCAATCAAATATTCTTTTGGAAACCACAATAACAATTTTCATAAACACATGTCCTCTCAAATTCTCATTACCTAAAACTAGCTACCATCTAAAATCCTAAATACTCGCAATCTAAAATCCCTCCCTTTTGGCAAGCATGGCCCAATTCCTTCGTAATTATTAATTTAGAAATTTTACTTTAATACAACACTTGGTCCTCCTACAATGGCAAATACAAATAAATGTTCCCCGTTTTGCCACTTTCCTTGCGCTGATCTACCGCAATCTTGAATGTCGTCCAGCTTCCATTTCCAAAAGAATGTGGTCCACTCCGATTGTGTTTGCGTAATTTTGTTTCCTCTCTAATTGTAGATTTACAACCTTAAAACATCACCTTTACAAACGATTGTCTAATTCTTCCCGCAACCAAATAGCTTTCCCTCTTACAATTGACTCACACCAAGTCCGAACATCGTCTGCCCCGTTTTTCATATCTCGCATCTACGTGAAATTATACTCAAACACCACGTTTCTTCGTTTCTCGCGCGCCGATCCTTCTCACACTATCTATCTCCTGATAAATCACAAACATTTCAACATATTTATTCTTTGCTTTCCTGCTCGGAATAACTTCTCAATTTATTTTCTCACGTATCCTTTCACTGCATTATTTGCGAACATAGTAAAATTTCCCTCACTCTCAATTCTGTTGTTCTTTCCTTGCATTGTTTCCAAAATAAAGCTTACTTCGGTTTCTTTTCTATACCCCCATTGTTGCTGTCGTCCATACTTATACCTACGTAAATTTATTATTTCTATATAATCACCCTTGTGATAACACATCACAATGTACAGTAAAAAAAAAAAATCAAATTGGTAACTAATGGCTTACGAGATAACGGGTCACCAACATAACGAATTTTACAAAGGTAAGATGGGAGGGGAGATTTCCCCTTAGAGATAAGTTGGATTTGTGTTTTTATCATTTCCATAGATAACGGTAGCTTCTCTCCAATTTCACTCTTCTGTCTTAAACGATATGTCACTTTGAAATGAGTAAAGTCATTCTTGAAAGCAAAGAAGTACCAATGGCCGGCCCAATCCATTTCTTCCATCGGGCACATACATCAGCAAAATACGTTCTCCAGGTTTAGTAGTCTTTAATACCCTTCTCCAAAGATCAATCTCTGAGGTTTTCCTAAGAAAGCCTTCACAAAGTTCACTGTGCACTTCTACTTGTTTGCCACGAGCCCTAAGGGAAGTTGAACCTGCCTTTTTTTTTGAAGACTTTGTCTTTCATGCCATGCTTGCAAACTATCTGGTGCATTATTTATATGATCTTTTTCCGAGACTTGTACCACAAGTCTTATTAGATTGTCATTTTCGTGCAGCAAGTGCATATTTTACTATGTAATACTGTAAAAAGTCCAAGTACAGAGTCCCTAAAAATGAAGTTAGTTACACTAAGATTTCACTGCACTTTACCATTTAGTTTCCTCCAATATTACATAATTATCTGAAAACAAAGATGTATGAGACAGGAGAAAATAAAAATAGCATAACATTACAACAAAAAATATACTAGAATCCTCAATACTTTAAAGCACATCAACAAAAACAAAAATGCTGAAAAGATGACACCTGTAACAACTACAAGTTTCCTAAATAATTCAGGTCAAATGTAATAAATCTGATTTATTCTGGAGTCTGTAAAACTTATTTTTATTTAATGTAGTAATAGTAAATGTAATGCATAACTACAACATTTCTTTCAAAGAACATTATACAAAGCATAACAATTTAACAATATCACATAGCATTTAATATCAAATAAAACGGTTTTCAACCCTTACACCTCCAAAGTCAAATAATATAAACCATTTCTGTAAATATTGCTTTTTGGTAACACATAACAATTAGAAAATAAAAGAGAAGAAAACATTTCTTCAACTAAAAATCAGACCCTCAATTAAGAACTAACCATTTTTATATTAAATTAATACATCAATTATAATACTCATCTCCAAGATGCCATAAACGCTACATGATTAAATTATCATCACCATTACATCAAATGTAAATTGTGACATGTTTAATGAGTAATTTTTTGAGGGATCATTATTTTGAATACATTAATTGTGGGAAATGGAAGTATATGAAACTAATATCATTAGCATTCTAATCATTAAAACAGAAAACTCTCACCTAAAACTTTAGGGTTTTATAAATGGAGGCATGAACAAGATTGATAATACAATAATATATTAATCAGAATATGGAAATATGTTGATTTCTTTATTGCATAAAGCAAGAGATAAGAAGATTAATTCAACAAAATGCAAAGAGACTAAATGTTTGTATATTAAAAACTATCTTCAAGACTCTCATATCACATCAGTAAAAAATAAACTAAAGATCGACACATTATTTCAGAATAAAAATTTTCATGTACTAAAAATCTATTTAAAACTCAACAGTATAAGAAGTATCTTACTCACATACCAGTACTCATGTACACTTGATAACACATAGACATACATACAAGTAGCTGAATAAGGCACATACTATATGGATGACAGAAAAAACATGATTCAAGATGAATAATGAAAATTTGTAAAACATTTGATGCACAAAACGAGATAAAATGAATTTTTTTTATTGGAAGGAAAGCAAAATTATTTTACTAAAAATCAAACATACAAATTTGATTGAAACATTTTTCTGAATGAAAATTTGAAAATAGATTGTCGTTTTGATCTGTTGCATTGTGCAAAATTCACGAAGTAAATATAACATACCAAAATATTTTTTAAAAAACTTTATTAAAAATACTCCAAGTTATTCTGGAAGAGAACTAAAGAGAATGAGGACTATTTCTAAAAACTAATTTTTATCTTTCTACTCAATTTATTGCAGAATAAAAGACTCGGAATATTTTAATATCAACAATTCGGAATACATTCTAAACCGTTATATTAATCTTTATTTGCAAGTGCAATACATCTACAATTTAGAAGTGAATTCAATTTTACATTACTTTCAATGATACTAATAATCATGTTAAGAATGCACAAACTGAAGGGAAAATGTTCATGCAAATTTTATCTTAGAGATTTAAAATGTAAAATTCAATGTAGCTAATATTTGTACTGAAATGTCTTAGTCTATTCTTCTAGCTGCAGACTGAACTTGAACTATCAACTTTATATATGAAGTAAACTACAGATATCAAAGTCTGAACAATGGACCCAATTTTGTGGTTAACTCACATAAATTTGTAATCAAAACTTTATGTTTTTGAATGTGAATCAAACATTATAGAAACATATGCAGGTTGTTAGTTTGGATAATATCAATGTTGTTTGCAATTACTGAAAGTTATGATTTCTGGACTGCAGGCAAACAATGTAACATTAAAACATTCTGAATAAAAAATTAACAGAATTAAGATGGTACTAAAACTGCAACATTCCTTTCCTTATAATTCCATCCTTCATGAAATTGCTCATCGACTACATGAAAAATTAAAATATTATTTTGAAACTTTCCAAATATGTTTCTGTAGTGTTTATTTCATTACAGCTTGGCTTAAGTTCCAAATAGTTTCTATAAATTTACTGTCCCTTCCGCCAAGCGTTCTATAGAATTTGGTCACTGGCTAGGCTAATACTCATGTCACTGTAGACAGGTATTATTTTTTTTTATTAATTTCTCTCCTAATCTCAGCGGAGAGAGAAAAAAACAACAAAAAAATAAACAAACAAAAAACACGTTGACTGCCATGTAAGACCATATGGTCTCATGGTTGACTACATGAGACCATATGGCCTCACAGAATCGTTTTAATGAAATATTTCCACTTCATTGTAAACAACTTCAGTAATGAATTAAATGTCTCTAATTGATGAAAATATGTACAAGGCTTCCTATTGGTAACAAATCGCTCTTGTAATACTCTTGGAACAGTATTTTTTCCATTATTTGTAGTATATACTAAACAGTATATAACTATTGTAAATATAATTATACTTGTATTATTTACATTGTGTATCATGGTTCTATTTATGACTTTAAGATTTTGGAATTTATCTTCATCTATTCTCTCCCTCATCTGAAGTGCAAGTTACACAATGATACTTTAGGCACGTAAATTTTGCATATATTTCTCAGTATTGTTGCATTTACTAGTTTGTGGCTTCTATCAAGCGAGTAATTGTGGTGAAAGTTTGTCAGATTAGTAAAAGATATTATAATTAGTGAAATGCCACTGGGTTGGGTCCAAAGAGGTTATCTAATTTTTTAACACACTTTTCCTACTTTCTTTGATTATTGTAAAAATGTTTTCCATTTAGATGTAAATTAGAAGCTAATAAAGAAATACTAAAGATATTTAAATCAAATTATTCAGACACTGCCTCTTCTTGCTAAATAATAATAATAATAATAATAATAATAAAATTTTTAAAAAATCAATTGACAGATTGTTGATCTCTTGCAATTTTTATAAAAGTGTAAAACTACACGGTCTCACAGATAACTTTTAATCTCGTAAATCTAAACGTGAGACCATATCGTCGAATACAAGGTAAATTAATGAAAAGATGAGGAAAGTTCAAACTAGTGCCTTAGGTATCTAAAAATGATTTATTTCTTTGAAAAAGTAGCTGTATAGAGAAATGGTTTATGAAAAGGGGCTTGGCAGTCAACACGTTACGAAGGTAAATAAGAAAACAACAAAAGAGGTAAAGACAAAACCATTTGAATTAATAAAGTAACAAAAAAAGGCCATATGATATTCCAAGTAAATTAAATAACATTGATGTTATTGAATTTTGTGGCATTGATTTGGAACATTATGTTTGTTGTTCGACTAGATTTGCATTAATTAACACTAGGAGGACAGCAGCAGTCATTTTGACAGGTGGCCTCCTTTACATCAAAGTCTTAACAATATATGTGGTTTGTAAATTCAGTGCTTTGTGGCTTTTAATATTTAATCATATTCTACACATTTAAAGAAATAGCCATGTACACTGAAATTTAACTACGATATTTATAAATACTTCTAAAAGGACGAAGACCCATCATTTTGACGTGTGTTAAGATTTGCTTAATATCTTTGGCATCTTGTCAGGGAAAAGTAAATAAAAACGTGATTCTTAGTACATTGTATAAAAATGTAGTTATTGATGAAAAAAGCTCCAAGAAACTTCCACAGACTGTACAATTTTATAATGAAACAATATGTGGCATTGACATACTTAATCAAATTGCATGTTTTATACTGTGAAATTGTAGGTGGTGGTCAATGCAGGTAGTGTTCAATGTTCTGGATACCGCAGTCATTAATGTATGTATATTATACATGGAGGTAACGGGAGATAAAACATCTTGCTGAGATTGTATCTTCAAATTATCAAAAGAATTAGCATCTGTTTATATAACAAAAATAAGCAAAATCTTCCCCAAGCAATTAGCACTCTTCAGAGTAGTGACATTCACAAGACCTTCCATAGAGAATGATGAAGAGGCAGGAGCAAGTACAATCACTGCAACAAATTTGTGGATTATGAGATGGAAACATCTTTTACACTTGTGCATGCTGCTTTGAAGATTTTGGAGGGTTTGGTTAATTAAAATTTACCGAGTATAAAGATATTCACAAGATAAAATGAAAACCTTTTAGTTCAGTTAAATATTACCCTATCTACTGTTGTAGGTTTCCATTGTTACATATGTAAGAAAAATTTTAGTACATCAATAAAATTCTTTAACAACAATGAAATAAAATCTGAACAAGCATTAACACAGCAAAAACAGAGCATTAACGATTGTGTTAAAAAAAAACACATGTCAAAATGACGGGTTCTTCCTACTAGGTATAAAGGAAATCACCATCTTCCTAGTGTTAATGAGAACATAAAAGAAATAAATCAGGTCAGTTTTTATAATTCTAACGTCACTGAAAACATTTTCAGAAAAAATTTCCCTTCTATCAAGAATTGCCAAACGACATATTCTTCATGAATGCTCTGCTAAAATAATTCTCAATAAAATAAGAATATGATCTTTCACATGGGTTCAGACAAGGCATACAATATGCTAAAAAATTACAGGTCTTATATATCCTGAATAATTATTATATTTATTATTATTATTAAGACCAATAACTAATAGGATCGTTCATGAATAGCACATGAAAAACATGTTGACGGACAGAAAATACTGTAAATTAGCAATAAATAAGAAATTCAAATATATAAATATATATATATATATATAAATATATATATATATATATATATATATAAGAGTAATGTTTATTATGCCAAGAACAAATAGATTCACTTTTCTTTCAGCTGTCTTTTTTATCTTTAGTTCTGAGTGACATTATTTAATCTATCACTTAGGGTCCTTCAAAAATTAATTTGTTTCATTTCTGTTTTTCCTCTTTTTTTGCTATGAGCCTATGAACACTGAAGCCATAAACATAATACTTGCATCTACAAAAATTACTTCAGCAGTTTTAACTTTGATTTTAAACAAAAACATGCCCAATTTTGCTAACAAATCACATTTTAACTAAGAAAAGAAGGTTAGCAAATGCTGAATTAAAATGCACACATTATGTCAAACCATCTTTTTTAAAAGTTGGTTTGACTTAATGATCTGTAAATTAAATTTCTAACAAACATTACTTGTTGAATAAAAATATATAGTAATATTTAAGACCTGAGATAAAACATGAAATTTCTCTGTGCATTAAATGGGATAATAAATCATCATATTAATCACAGAAATGAAAATAGATGAATCTGAAAAATCATTAAACAATCATTTCTGAATAATGTTAAGAATTCATTTGAAATATAATCACACAGTACTGTTCTTTCCTCTTGCATCTGAAATAATAAGTACAGTGTACAAGTGTATGCTTTATAAAATTATCAAAAATTAACAAACAGGTAAAAAACAACAATGTCCTATTATAACAATGCCAAGTCTTCAGATGTTTTGGACACATGGGAGTTCTAACCATTTGGGTATATAAATTAAGAACCAACAGTACACATCACCTTTGCACTTTATCTAGCCTGCTAAGCAGATTTTCTAATTCACTAGTGATCCTGATAGTGATTAAATATGCCACCAATACACTAGGAATTGTAACAAACAAACCCAATCCTTCGAATATTAATTTTGGAGCAAATATTTTCCATACCATTAAGTGGCGGCAGTGTATTGTAGCAGCAAACATACAAGCGAACATCTGCAAAAACAACAAAATGTCAGATACACTTATTAAACATAAAGTCAAATAAATAACATAAAATTTACAAATATTATATAAATTTTATCAGAATTCCATTTCTCTACTTTTTAGTCATGTGGATATCATTAGTGTACATTTAGAAACGGTCTCAGTCTCTTTTTTTATTTAATAATTTATTCTACCCTCTCTTGTAAAAGTTTTGAGAATGTAAGCAGCCCATTTTCAGGGGTAAAATGTAAGAAAATAATCAGCAAATTATATTTTTCTCTGATGATCCACTAATGATCAGGATAAACTTAAGAGGTATGATTAACTATTGCTACTTTCTGGAATTTACTCATGAAGCAAACAATACCATATTTTTGTTAAAATACATTAACTACTAACCCTCATTCCATGAAACAAGATGTATTTAGTGCAAAGTGTGAACATTCCTCGATAAAACAATCCATCTTTTTCAAACAGGAGCATTTCACCTCTTCGCATGTCTTCCAATTTTATATCAGTATTGGCAGTGATGAACTTAGGGAACATAACCCAAAGAGTAAAGGGTGCAATTAGCACCAAAGGTAACATCAGGCCCATTATGATCTGAGATGAAAAGGTGTTGAATCCGATGAGTAAAGCTGGTATAATGTGGTTTGAGAATTGACCTCCTGTTCCCACGAATGCAGCATCCCATTGGATGCTTGGAAAAGTAGGTTGATGGCCCGTACCATAAAAGAAGTAGATGGATAAGAGACCCCAGCAAACCACAAATGACCAAGGCACAGCAAACAGTTGAGCTAAAAAATGAGGAAATTATTTTAATATACATTGATGGAATGGAAACAAGTTTTGGAAAGTTAAAAAATCTTTAATATTTTCTCACTAAATGAAATGAAAATGTAATTAGATTAAATACATAGAGTAAGGGATTCTTTTCATAATCTTTAATAAGAGCATAATCACAAAAAGTGCTAGTGACAAATTTGTTTGTCAGTAATGATTTGAAAATCATGAATTAAGAATTTTTCATCAAAATAGTAGCATTTTGTATTTGAACAATAATTACAGGGATCATATAAAAGGAACATAAATTTAATAAAAATTGGCTCTACAGTATTGACATAAAAACCATATTCTTTCTTTCTTTTAACTTGAATATTGACTCTCATGCTCTTGCACAAATGAATATCAGAACTCGCTCATATACCTCTTGCACAGTGAAAACACAATGACAAGAGCACAAATGCTACTTTGACATTATTAAATTGTAATTGTTGTGGTGCAATTTTCAATAATTGTGAATTAAAAATTCACTTTATATTTTTTATGTATGAATAATTGTGATCCTTGATATAATCATTTTTTTTAGATAAACCTCATTAAGGTCTTTATAGTGTCTCTAATTTTATAAAAACAAAAGGTACATAAATTTCATTATTGCAATTAGCTTAAAGCAATTTTCTCAAATGGAACATAAAATTATCAACAAAAAAAAGATTAATTATGACTATTATTATTAATACAATATAATGACATTTTACGTGAAGTTTGTTGGGGGACACAATTTGCCTCTTTTTATAGTGTAAATTTATGAAAAATGCAATAAAATCTGCAAATCTATAGTGTTAATCACTAGACTGAACCAAAAGTATATTATCACAGGCAAAAAAGAGTGTATGAACTGAAAAACTTATGCCAACTCTGAAGAATGATATTACATTAACGGACCGTTATCCAATTTGGTTATGTTTAAATTAAGTAATAAACACGAAAAAATAATTTGTTTACTTGACTATACTTAAAGAGATCTTAATTACAATCTGAGTTCATAATATTAAGAGACAAGATGAAACGTATTGCATACTTTAAGAAAACCATTTCACAAACTTACCAGTGAGGACAGACTTCTCACACTGCAGTACTGCAAGAATAACAAGAAGTCCAATGCAAATGGTCACCATAAGAAGCACTGAAGGAGCCAAGACATCACCCAAAAGCAAAGCAATAAACAAACATAAAAAGACACTCAAGTTCACAAACAATGCACTGTACACTGTTGCCAGTCCGTAGATCACTGGGAACTGTTTATCACCAGATCCAACATTTTCTTTCCCTGGCTTGTTGAATTTATTGCGTTTTGCCATCATGTCTTTCACTTGGTGAAACAACTGAGGAATAGCATTTTCTTGTCCATAAACAGAAATAAGATTGTCCTTCTGCTTAGGAATAATGTATATACAAAGAGGTTGTATAAAAAATATTACAACTGCAGTAGCAGTGACAAAGTAAATAACCCATGGTAAAAATTGAAGTTGCCAAGGAAGGAAGAACTTCAATCTCATATCTCTGGGTAAACTGTGTAGAATCCAAAATCCACCAGTGCAAACAACAATAACAGATGGAGAATACCGAGACAATGCAATATTTGGAGAGAAACCAACTAAATTCCCACAGCTTCGCAACCATATTCTGGCAAATGATACAAACATGCCCAGAAAAACCAATGTAGACAAACACTCTGCATTACGATATTTTCCCTCTATTAAAGTACCAGATGAATGAGGTTTATGTGTAACAAATGATTCACAGCCAGACTGTTCTTCACGACATCTCCAATAATAATGAGATAACCTGAGCAGAAAACTCAGTCCAATGACTAAACAAATGACTTTTAATCGAGAAGATGTTAAATGAAGATTTAATGATCCAAACAATGACTTGTCTGATCTAAATCTGCTATTAGTTTCTTTCTTAGATACTTTCAAATTAAATACAAATAACCACAAAAGACTTAAAAACAAATATGAAAGCACTGTAGCTTCTTCAACAACATAACTGTTTGAAAACATTACAACTAAGCTCAATGCTACTAACATTCGACAGAAAACATGAGTCCAATCATTAATTTTAATTTGATTATGCCAAGTTGTTACTATTGGTTCCCAATTTTGAATAATTAGAATTGACATCAAAAATAAAGACACAATTCCAGTAAAAAAGTATATACCCTGTTCTAAATTAAGAACCAAATCTAAGTTGTAACTAACAATGCAGACAACAACAGCAATCAACATACTAATGTAACCAACAAGAAGGAAAGTTGTATTCAAAACCTCTCCTGGTAACCTATCAACAATGAGAAAACTAAAAAATATGGTAACAAATGTAATAACTAAGCCACGTGACATTAACATGGGATCAAACTCCACCCAAACTTCTTCACACATCTTTCTCAGAAACATCAAGTACTCCAAAGCATTTACAGCAAAATATTTCAATTTAACAGAGTCAAATATATTTTGTACTTGATCTTGAAGTTTATTAAAATTTGTCTTGAGGAGAGTAAGCTTTTCTTGAGAGAATTCATTTTTATTTGAGGAATAACGGTGAATATAACTTGTTACTTGTTCAAGATTATGTTTCAAGGCTTTTAACACGTATTGCTGATCAGATATATCTTCACCTGAAGGCAAAGCATCCAATATCACACTGCCAAGATTCGAAAATGGAATAGGAAGGCCTAAAATGGTTGACAAAGTAGGCACCAAATCAATTTGCTTGACAACTTCTCTATGAGGAATGAAGTCACCAGTCACAAGTGGTTTGTGTGAATGAACAAACATTGCAGCTGAAACTTCATCTTCACTGTCTCCTCCGTGGTCACCTATAACAGAATAGTTCTCTTGAGGGACAAAAATATGATAAATGTTTCTCCTTAAATACAATGTAAAATAATTACCATGAGATGTCATTCCATGATCTCCGATTACAAAGAGCATAGTAGAATCATCCATTGTGTTAACAACGTTCCTTTAAAGAACAAATGATATTTCATTACTGTACCACACAGTGCCAATGAAATGAGAAAACCCAATATAAGATTCATCATAACCAAAGATTTTAGAGTAAGCTTTACAGCTTAAAACTGCATTAACAATATCTTACCTAATTACATCATTCATTTCCTGTAATTTTCTGCTCATTTCGACGTGCTGAGGCCCATATCTGTGCCCACAATGATCCACACCAAGAAAATGAGCAATTAAGAAACTCCAATCTGACTTTTGGATTTCATTAATAATGTGCTTTTTAATTCCATTATCAACAGTATCCAAATCCCAAACATTAAAAGAAGGATAGGCAAATTGGCGCAAAAATCGGTTAGGAAATAATCCTGTCCAAGTATCATCTCCCAAGAACACAATATTTTGGTTTTGAGAGCGTAACTGATCAAGCACATTATCTTCATTTATTTCAGGAGTTGCAAAATTAGATCCAATATCCACAAAAGTAGGTAAACTTCCTGTAGTTATACCTTTCAATCTCTGCATTGTTGTGGTAGGCGGATCAGCAATAAATTTATAGAGTTTGGAATGATTAGGTTGATGAGTTAGTAACTCGTTAATAACTGCTAGTTTGTTTTGGTAGGGTAAAACTTGAGAATCATCTAAACTTCTATTGAAGTACACAAAGTCATATCGCAGTGCATCTATTATGAACAGTATCACCTTCGCTCTGCTTGCAACACATATATTGGTTTCTTCATCTGAATCAAATGAACTAAAACAATGTGCAGGTACATCACCATCATTAATATCTGAGTGGTTAGATAATGCAGGTTTGTCACCCACAGTACAGGTATTATTGGAAATTTTACATGTTGATTTATGTGTCAATGAAACACGATGTAGAAGAAAACCCCGAACAAACAACAAGACTCCAGACACCAATAGATAGGAAATCCATAGTAATAAGAAAAAATATTTCCAATGTTTGCCCATAGTATTGCCCTCTTCGCTATCTACACTACATGTTTCTAAAATCCGGCACCCCTCCTTTCCCCCATGGATTTAATGAGCTTACGACTTGAAAATCCTAAATACACAAAAAAGATATCCTACTCGACGCAATCGAACGTGCGTATTTTAATTCACAGTATATCGGAATATGAAACTGGGACAATGGGGCAGACACCAGTGCGTAATAATAACATTGCCGTTCACTAAATTTCCAAAAATTTCGCCTGTATTACAAAAGTTAATAGATATCTCACGTATACACCTACCGGTATAAACAAGACAGTTCTTCGCAGCTGAGTCTCTTTGGAAAATATGGCGATTTGCAGGATTGGTTTCGCAGTATTGAAAAAGACTGCGTTGTACCAAGTAAGGGCGTTGTCCTTGTTTTTAAACGAAAGTAAATACAACACCCAGGTGAAGCTTTGTTGTGATGAGCGATATTGGGAAGTGGACTGGTCGGATCAACAAGTAAGGTACCTAACCTCCAAAACAGTGCCGGTTTCTGATGACATAAAACATTGCAACGTGGGCACGATCGGACACATTGACCATGGAAAGACGACTTTGACTGCAGCTATTACAAAAGTTCTTGAAGAGGAAGGGTACTCACGCTTTGTATCTTACGAGGAAATTGATAGGGCTCCAGAAGAAAAAGCTAGAGGCGTGACTATAAATGCTACTCATGTACAGTACAGAACGAAGATGAGGCATTATGCCCATACTGACTGCCCTGGACATTCTGATTACATTAAAAATATGATATCAGGTGCCTCGCAGATGGATGGTGCTATTGTTGTTGTTGCTGCTACCGATGGCCAAATGCCGCAGACCCGAGAACATTTACTGTTAGCAAAACAAATAGGTATCCAAAACATAGTAGTGTTTATAAATAAAGTTGATTTGGTAGACGAAGACGTCGTTGACCTAGTGGAAATCGAAATGAGAGAACTTTTAAATGATTTTGGTTATGATGGCATTGTAACACCGATTATAAGGGGGTCTGCGAAATTAGCACTTCAAGGAGACAGTTCAGAAATGGGCAAGAAATCTATTATCTCGTTAATGAAAGCTATTGATGAACATATCCCTACTCCAACAAGAGATACTACTTCACCATTTATACTACCAATTGATGATGCTTTTACAGTACCAGGTAGAGGTACTGTGGTTATTGGAACTTTAGAACGCGGAGTTATAAAAAAAAATGATGAAGCAGAATTACTTGGTTTTAATGCTAAAAAGAGCACTTCAGTGGCCGATATTCAGATATTTAAGAAATCTGTACCTTCAGCTGAAGCAGGTGAAAACCTTGGAGTTCTTGTGCGAGGAGTACGATTACAGGCAGTTGAACGGGGAATGTTGTTGTGTGCTCGAGGCAGTATGGATATTAGCAACTGCTTTGAAAGTGAAATATACTTTTTGACCAAATCAGAAGGTGGTAGATCTAAACCTGTCACATCAAAATACATTCAACAGTTTTTCAGTAAGACTTGGAATATATTGTGTCGAGTAGATGTAAAAGAAGGTGAAATGATAATGCCAGGAGAACATGCTAGAGTAATTATTACTTTACTGAGAGGTATGGTGCTGTTAGAAGGTCAATCATTCACAATTAGAGAGAACAATCAAACTGTTGCAACTGGAATAGTTGCAAAGATTTTACCTAGTGTATCACTTATTAATACAAAATTACATAAAGTTCAAATTCCAAATGTACATAATTAATTATTTAAATTTTTTATATTCTGTCAAGTCGTGTTGTACAGTTTTTGTATAAAAATGATAATCAGTAAGAAAAAATAAAGAATGTATTGTTTAAAATATATGAAGTGACAAATAAAATTAATGTACTCTTTAGCTACCCAGTCTGACTTTTGTCCTTGGCCATAAATGGTTTAGAAAAGAGAGGTTATTTGAATTTGCTAAAACTTCTAGGAAGGAAAATGAAAGTAACAAACAATAAATTATTGTTAAGTTGTTAAATCTTTACCCAATTTTTTGGGGAACTTTAAAATTCAATAAATCTCATGTAAGCATCATAATTTTCAATTTTTACTAAAAATTTTTTATGGGAAGTGCGAGTGTAAGGCCTTCACAAGCGTTGTGTTGACATGTGTCAGCGCTCCGCACTTGGTGTAATACTTCCAAAAACTGCATAATTCTGTATTGTCATACAGAATATATATGTCCCCTAAGTTTCATCCCCTACTTTATTTGAAACCTAAAAATGTGACAAAGAAAACAGTTTAGAAAGCATTTGAAAATATATAATTGAAGTAAAGAAACAGAGGAGCTTTGGAGAAACAATGAGAAAAGCTAAATTAGTTGCATTGTCTCAAACTTGAGTTCAATGTAGATCTTTAGTTGGCTTTTATTTCAATTTACACATCAAACAGTGAAATTTTAGTGTATATTGAGAAAAAAAGTTACTTCATTGCTCTGATGCAAAATTTTGCATTGCAACCTACGCGGAAATGTGACTCGGGACAAAAATGGTATTTGTTAATTTATATTATCAAAATTTAACATTGGAATTATTTCTCTCATCTCTTCTATCATTGGAGGTGTTAATGTTTAATCTTATGTAATATTTGTTATAGACACTAATATAACCTTAATACATTAATTTTAAATTATATAATATTCATTAACCTATTTAATGTTATGCATTTGCATTGCATACATTGGTTACTTTTATGAGAGCAGGTTCTTTGTGTGTGGAAATGGGACAAGTGAAGGGTCTGAAATGCATAAGTGTCAAAGAAACAAAAGGAGTTGATAATCTACCTTCATTTATTTTTTGTGGCCTGGCAAAAGTAACAAATAAGAAAATCTGAACAGAACAGTTCAAACTTCAGCCAATAGCACACCTGGCAGCTCAAAAACAGTCTTATCTAGTTAGAGTGAATTTCTGGGAACTAACGTTTTTGGTTCACTATATCGGATGTCAAAATTAAATTGAATTTCTCCACAATTTTTGATTTCATTAATATAGAGATACAGTAAAATACATTAACAGCACAAACAATTTCAATATTTTTGTTTGTCCTTAAAAAATGTGTAATTTTCAATTGTTTGCTTTGCACATTTTTCATTTGAAATTTCTCTAGATCCTTCTCGAGAGTACTTGTTTTCTCCATGCTTGATTCTGCTTTGTCCACTGTCTCTTAAGTATTGTAATGTCTTGACACCCTTCAATTGCTCTTCTACTGTTGGAACATAGTCCCACTCTTTGTAGGTCCTTATATACACCTAATAACAAACGAGATCCATTTGATAGTGGGATGGCACAACCTAATTAATCTGATAGCTCTTCCTTGCAGCATAGGAGAGGTCACCAGGTTGTGGGATTGAGGCAGTCGCACACTTCCTGTCACCTTCATAGAATATAACTGAATATCAAGTAGCATCAAACTTGAAACTGAATCAAGCAATCCCATGTCACACCACTAGTTGTAGCCCATGAAGGACACAGCCTTTATTTCTGCAATGAAATAGTCATAAGATCATAAGGGGCCATTCATAAATTACATAACGCAGATGTGGAGTATTGAATACCCCCTATTCCGCCTGTAACATGCAATTACCCCCCCCCTAATAATTACGTAATGTTTGCGACAACCACCCCACCCATTATGTAAATGTAAGAAGTGAAAATAAAATGTAGTTCAGTAAAAAAATGTATTCATTTCATTCAGTAACAACGTCTAATAACTAAATTATGTTTTTAAAGAAAAGAATTAGATAATATTTTCATGTTTTACTGTGACAAAAAAATTTCAACAAACATTAAAAATTGTACAAAAAATTTCAATGTTACATAACGCTAATGGAATACTTACCCCTATGTAACACTGCCTGAAACTCACTCCTCCCTCTTTGGCGTTATATTATTTATGGGCGGCCCCTAAGTAAGATGCTCATTCCCTGCCCGCTACCTTCATCTCAGGGGAGACTTTTGGCCAATGATTTTTTTTTTCAAGCTGCCTGGTGTTGGAATTTGTGGCACTGAGGCAATACATATTCCAAGAGGGAATTAATTTCAAGGACGTATTTCCTAAGTTCACTATAACCAAATAATCTTATATTATTTGAAATGTAAGTGGAACGGGACAACTGACTTAAGTTCACTATAAATGGAGTTGACTACCTGAGCCATTACCAGAGAAAGAAGGCTAAAATTAAACACCTTAAGCTCTAGTAACATTTCCTTTATTTTCATTTTTCACTTCCATACTTGAAATAAAACATCAATCATTTAATACTTGAAACAAAAATTGATTTCATACGTTCAATACAATATCAATGCACCATAAACTATACAATAAAAGTTTGTAATAGAAAATTCTCAACATACCAACTATAAAAGATCATTTTTCATTTGTTTTGTTCCTTTTACTCATAGAATTTTCACTAGATTGTTTTGCCTGATTATGTGCTTTGCGAGGTTTCATTAACATCTTGAAAGCATTCATCTTGCCATTAATCAAATCATCATGCACACTGTGCCTTTTGGCAGGTGGTGTTTCATCTGCTTCTAGACGCTCTGAAGGGTCCTTCTCAATTTGATCACACCCTAAAACTGCCTGTTCTGATCTGACAGTATCTGGAAATTGAGAGAGAAAAGTTTCCTTACAAACAAGTTGCCAAAGAAATGAATATATTTCCAAGTTTACAACTTACCTTCAAATTTTCTCTTACGCATTAGATTTTTCTCTGGTTTTTTACTAGTTTCTTCTCTCCTCATGTTCTACAAGCACAATATGAAATATTTGTAAATTTCATTCAGCAAGTGGTAGAAAAAATATGCAAGTTAATGAAGAGAGAACAATTTACGAATATTTAACTTATGTTTTTAATAGAATAATCAAAATACATTTTGTAAAGGATGTAAAGTAAACAATTTTGTCGAACTTTTTTTACCTCACAAGGCTTCAAAATAAACTTAGTTATATCACAAGATTGCTTCACATTTCTTTTGCGTTCCTTTCTTTGATCCACAGGTTTGTTCCCTAGTACTTGGAAGACTGTCTCTGGCAATTTAGGAGTATTTGCAACATCATATGATTTTGAAGAGGTAATTTCTCTGGATTGTTTTTCTGTATCATCATGAATGTCTTCGGTTGCTGGTGGCTTTAATAATTTTTGTAATGCTTGATCTGTCATATTTGAAATTCTTTCCATATACGTTTTGTATGTGCTTTCAGGAGGAATTCTTTCCAAACATCTCTTAATAATGTTGACAATACCAGTCATCTGACTAATATTCATATCTGAGAGACAAAAACAAAAATAATAATAATAATAATAATAATAATAATAATAATAATAATTGTCAAAATGTGTGTTAATGTTATGTAAGACATTATGAACTCCTAAAGCAAACCTTATCGCACACATGTTCTTAGGAAAGTTACAAATAGTTTTGTAACAATATCTCTTGCACTGTAGAGGGTACTCACCTGCAGGAGATAGATTTGCAAAGAGCTTGCTCCAAGTATTTTTTAGTGCTTGCATAAGTAAAGTAATTCGTCTTGTCTCATTTTTTTTGCTTCCTATAGGAAAAGTTTCATAATTTGCAGAGACACATGAAATGAAATCTGTAAGAGCAATTAACAATATTGAAGTTTCCAGCACATTATGGCAATGATGTTGACACTTGTCCTGAAAAAAATGTGAAACAAATGATGCAACCTCCTCTTTGAAACATGAGACCTTACATAGCAGTTAAATTAATTAGGATGAAATATTTAACACGTACTAAAATAATTTTGCAATCCACGTTCGTGAGACATAATGTTGAATTAATAAGTGGGATATGTCGCGCATTTATTTCCAACATTGCCATCTCTTCAACATTTCTACAATTGTCTTTGACATTATCTACGAGGCTCTTTACATAGTCTCCGCATGAAAATACTTCGTCCGTCATTTTCGATGTATATCTTTAACAAAATTATGTGAAGAAATCAACTGCACTTCATTGTGTATTTTTGAAAGATTGGCCTTGGCCTCATGAGCTTCAAATGCTGAAATTAAATGTTCACACACAATACCACACTATTCACTAACTGTCACCAATATTAACATAAAACTTTAATGGCACTCGCCATTGGCAATAGGTAGCTCTAAAAGGATCCGTGATAATCATAATAATACATCCCTGCTAGTATGCACATTCTACAATTCGCTTGCTCACGTAAATGCCGAATACGTCTGATGAACTTCATGAATTGGACCACCAACTGGACTACCAATACGTCTATCGTTTTGGCGGGGTTTGTCCTCTTGTCATCGCTTTCCCTTTAAACGAAATCGATTTGTCCACCCTTTCAGGCAAAACTTGCATCTAATAGTGTAATGTTTTTTAGACATCACTCGTTTTCTCAAAAGTAGTTAACACTAAATAACGATCTGACATTGTTTAAAAAATTTTTAAAACTTGTTCCAACACCTAACTCCCTATTCTTCGACATCTCGATTCTCGAAACAAAGTCGACTAATAAATGACGTTATCATCAGTATTGTCAGGATAGGAATCTTTATCTTTTTAGTGGATTTCTATGCTTTTTTGTTTTAGTGGTGACCGCTATGTAAGATACTGGTGGTGAATTGAGGGTCAAAAATGCAGCTTGTGTCACGATTCGTTCACGCGCGAAAATGTGTACTTGACTTTTTATTTCTTGGCGCGCAAGACCATGTCCGACCATTTCTTCACAATGGAATATCTCACGGTCTTTCACATCTTTCTCGGTCGTGCTGCTAGATGTCGCATGATAACCAGTGCTGTTCGATACGGTCGCGATCATGCGGCATGTGAAAATACAGATAGAAAAAGTGGGAGAGATGACACTATTAATTAGAAAACTAGCATTATGTCAGAACCCGAAAATCCCGAAACACATGAAATTACGAGAGTCGATAATCGTGGTATTATCTGCACATGTTTTCTTGGGCTCTCGCTTCACTAGATTCGAGAGGAGTGGGAAGTTTGGTTATTTTGACAAAAGGAATTTTACATCGAATATGTACTTCACTTTTCAATGCGAAATTATTTCTAGGGAGCTAATATTTCTTGTTACCATATTTTGTCTACAGCGCTCGTTGCTATCATTTATTCTTGAATCAACTAATGTTGGGAAAGGAGTGGGGGTAGATATTCCTGAGCTCAAGAATACGTGCAGATGTGACAATGAGAGTGGCATAATTAGAAGTCACAAAAGTGGAGAACGAAAGAAGGCTCAGTTACCTGCAAAGAGGAGTAATAATTGGAACGTCGACACAATAAAAGCCGGGCAGAGGAAAGCTTGGCTGTACATCGGACGACTGTCCGGTTAAAAGAAATGAGAAAAGAAAATACCCTGAACTTGAACAAAAAATACATGAGACAATTTAGAGTGCGAAATTCAATACATTGAGACAAAACAAAGCATTCAAACTGGGGCTACCGTCGAGATATTTAAACGAGGCAGAGACTCGTTTTTTTTGGCCACAAGAAGTACTTGTAAGGCCCTTTCGGTTTCCGTGATGGCAACCAAACAAGCAATCCCCTGAGGTACATATGGAAGAAGCCAAGTGTAGAAAACATAGAAACAAACAAAAACACAGAAAATAGCAAAATAACGACTAAGACAAAAAGGAGAAAGGAAGAAATTAAGGAAAATAAATTACAATGTAGGTTATGGAACATCGAAGGTCTCACAAGTGTACTAAACAAAACACCGAAGGATATGCTTGAGGATTTTGATGTAAATCTCACAGAAACATTCCAGCATTCAGATTGGTGGTCACAAGACAAATATGCAATTCATATCCTTGCCGCACAGGGTGAGAAAGTAAGACCAAAAGGGGAAATAACTTGTCTTATGTGTTCGAAATTATACCCGTTTTGAAGGACATATAAAATCGAAAAATATTATAATTAAAACATCACTGCGCTGGCTAATATTTCTTAACCAGAGTGAAAAGGACGAGACATACTGGACGAACTTAGCGCAACACCCAAACAAGTAAACCAGAACGAGTCCGTAATGCTGGCAGGGGATTTAAACCGTAGAGCAGACACTATGAACCAGAAATCGACCGTCATCAAATATCTAGAAACGGACGGCCTCTCCCTCCTAAACGACAGAAGAGAGAAAATATATGCCCAGATTGACCTAGTACAATCGAACTCTTTTCCTGCAACATGCTAGGAGACGATAAAGCGTACACCAAAGTGAACGACAATGTAGTAATACGGAAACATCTAACGGAAGATTTTAACTGAAGAATGGGAACAAAGAAAGGTCTCCGCTGATCACAATTCTAATTCCTAGAAAAATAGACAAAGGAATACTACAATCATACTCGGGCACTATTATTAATGCAGCAGAATGCCTACAGCCAGGGAATATTATTATCCCCATTATTTTTGGGAGCAATAATATCACAAGACTCGTAAGAAGTATTCTCGCCAAAGACGATATAAAAATCTGCGACAAAATAGCCATGTCAAGGTCAATAACGCAATCAATGGGTGTGCTGCAAGGAAATACCATAAGCCCCCTCGTATTCAAAGTAGAAACCTACGATGTTAAGTCTATTTTAATAAGTGTGTGTGTGTGTGTGTGTGTGTGTGTGACATAGTCCTAACATCAAGGAACGAAGACAAGTTACAGTTCACAGTCAATCGGTTAATAAAATGGTCCACGGAAAACGATCTCACTACAAATGAAGACAGTTGCTGTTCTGTTCAGAAAAGTAGACAGACTCAGCATTCACAATGACATCTACTGCGACGGGAAAAATTTGGAAATTGTAAACAAATTTATGTATTTATTTGTAGCTCTACAAACTCGCGTAACCAATTTCAGAGAACATATCAAAGAGAGGACCTCTGCAGGAATTATTGCGATGAATGAAATTTCACACCTACGACAAATTTTACTTGAAATAGCAATAAAATTATTCAGACTGAAAATAACTTCGGTGATTACATACGGACTTGAGGTCGTTTGGGAACACATGAACAAGAGAGACTCGAAAGAAATATAGAAAGTAAAATTTATCTATCTGAAGAAAGCTATTGGAGTTTCCTTCTCGTTCACGACCAGTGTATGGGCTAACAAGGGAGCCCTTTAATGTTGAACTGCGATGCCAAATGCTACATGAGAATGGATGAGAAGAGGATATGACCTACGACATTTGGTGGCAAGGTTTGTGGTGCATAGCTTTCACCAAAAACTATGTAAAACGATACGTCTCCGCGAAGCAAACAGTGTATGTGTGAATGCTGTGAGGAATTAATTGATAGGTATCATGCCTAACAATGCGGAAAAAGGGACACATCCATCTCCAAGATTAGTACGGAATAAAAATAAGTATTGGAACTGGTGAAATTCGCACGGTAAGAAGATAACCAGAAAGTGACTGAACAGTGAAGTGTAACATTTTGACTTCCTCCATATTCTCTCTATCAAAAAAGAAAGAATAAACTATGTGCTCTGTGCGCAGATATAACATTTGCTTCGATCAGCTCGTGTTGCACGAGTTCGCACTTACTGCATAACATCTTCACGTAGCAATGGATGAAGCAATACGCGTGTGTAAGATTGCGTTAATATGCTAGTTCATCATTTTCATGCAATACAATAAACTAGTCAGTGTAATTTCAAATACTTGGACGTGAACTTATGTACACCACGCGAGTGTATGTATTATTCTCATGATGTATGTATTATTCAATGTTGCGATGACTTGCTCATCTAATCCGTTCATACTGCATAGTATTTTATTCAATGCTCGCCTGTGAACAGTGATTTCATGCAGGCAAACATTTTTACCGTATTTAATGCTTGTGTATGAACAGTAATTTCGTGCGAGCAACCATTTCGTTTGCTTCTCTAATGTACTGTAAATGTGGTGATGTTTCTTGTTACATCGTATGCCTCCCAGCTTACGGTAGAGCTCTCAGTTATGTGCTTCCGTGTGCCCCCCACCCCCACCCCGCCCCCGTCCACATCTAGACGCAGCTTGGGCCTGCTTTCTGTAGCTGAACATGCGGGACTGCAGAGCGTCACAGCGCAGACTACGTCCTCGAGCCGGGCAATGCGATGCCACTTCCAGAACTCGAGATCGCGTTTATTATTATTTATTGTCGAGAGCCCCTTTCTAAACCCAAACGTTGAAAATTGGACGTCTCTCTAGTCGTAGAAGGAGCAAACCCTCCAGTAATTTGCAATCCCATTCCCTTATCTGGAGACGCATGGTAGGACACCAGCAACTCCACGAATTATTATTATTAATTATTATTATTATTGGCGTATAGGCCATTACTGACCACGCTAAACGATTAACGTGTGTAATTCTTCCAGGATCAGCTTTTCAGCTGTATCCTTTGATTACAACAACATTGTTACGCCTTGAAGTGTGAATTATGAGATGATACGTTGATGATGAGGGGTGAAGGGACAATCACAAATATGACCATGTCTACGCAGGACTCGAACCTGCAGCCTCCTGCCGCAACCGTCTGCGCCACGGCGCCGACATTATTATTATTATTATTATTATTATTATTATTATTATTATTATTATTATTAAGCAAAACAAGGTCCCATCTCAGCATTTGCTCAATGGATCAGGGAAACTAGACAAAAATCTGATCGAGATGGGGGTCATTGACCCGGAAGCTGAAGTACAATATTTGTTACAAGTATAATATGTTTGTTTAAAAAAGCAATATAACACAAATGTAAATTTATTCATTATATATCAGTTTTGTTAAAATAAACATTTTTTTGATGATCAGTATAGTTTCTATTTGTACAGAAACAGTTATGCAGCAGAAAAGATTTTACGAAAGAAAAGATTAGATGCAGCAGAAAGTAATTTAAATTTGTATACCAACTTCAATTGTTTAATGTCATCTGGTAATGCCTTACAAAGTAACGTGCATGTATTGTATGTGGATTTCTTGTACGTGATTTCTACGACGTGTGTTGTAATCATAAATATCAGTATTGCATGAAAATATGTTCCCATCGTCCAGTAAATCAGTTTTGACAAATATTACAGATTCGTAAATAAATAGGCACGGGTAAATAAATGGCATTTTTTCATTATTCGAAAAATTTCCTTCGCAATCTAAAGATCTGGGCATGATGAGCAGTTTTGCCATATCGGCGGAATTCCCGCCGTTTTCAGCGGATTTTGAACTCGTACGGCGAAAAAAAAAAAAAAAAAAAAAA